TATATATGTATATATATGTGTGTGTGTGTATATATATATATGGTATATATATATGGTGTTAGAAATGTAAATTCATAATTCTGAATTAGGTGGCATTAGTAGTGGTGTTATATTTATGGCACAAACATTTCTTTGTGCCATATTGAATTAAGTTCACTCCTAAATGCTTAGCATACCAATTAAAATTAAAATATAGTTATTTAGTCCCCCAACATTTTGTTTGCGTCTTACAAATTCAAAAACATAGAAAATGGTTTTCATTTAAAGCGGGGCATGCGAGATAATATATGTATTATATTTTAAATTTTTGATTCTATGCAATTACAAATCAAATCGTGGAATATCACTTCTAAATATGTCCTATAGAAAACTCATTAATCAAAATGCAACTACTCTAACTTTTGACAACTTGAATCAGAAAAGGAAATATGGCTACGGGTTGCAACAAAAGTAACATTATAATGCGATATATTTGGATCGTTTGCAAGCCTGGATGGAGCCTTATCATAGACATGGCTATTTTAACTGAGCTCTCTGCCCATTTGGTACAGATTTGTCTTTTGAAGTTTTTTTCTTACTCTCTCACTTTTTATTTTGGTTTTGGTACTTTTCTATTTTCTTCCTTTTTACTGGTCCATTGCTTTATACATGTTCAATGTAACACCTGTTACCTTGTTTTGTAACCTCATCTTTTATAACAGAAAATATTTATACATAAATTCGATAAACTTTGGCCATTTTTTTTTTGAAAACCATGCTATCATATGAAATTGACACTCAATTGTATTTTTGTATAGTATAAAAAATATCATCTTTCATTATTCATCATATTTTTCATAAACGTCCATCGCTTGCTTTACTCGTATATATTTATGCTCTCAAATAATAGATTGGATTAAATTCTGTGTTGTAAAATTTCTTTATTCATCCATGTATAACTTATGCCGCCCAAGCCCTAAAGGCTCTCATATATCTACTCAGGACATTATAAGACTGTTCTTCTTTCATCCCTGTTCTTCTTAATACCAGCGGATGCTTGGATCTTTAATCAATCTTCTAAACCAAGCGACTAGTTTCGATCATAATAGTTTGCCAGAAATTTCATTCATCTTCAGAACATAATTTAACGCCATGCTTTTAGAATTTCTAAGAAGGAAAATACAAGTAGTTCGAAAACACTAAACAGAAAACAGTAACAGATCTATACATCGATCCATCATCACACCTACTAGTAGAAAATGCTAACGACGTAAAAAAGAAAAAGAAAATCATCAGCATTGATTAGCCGGAGCAGCATCACCAACAACAGCAGGGGCAGAAGAAGTGATTGGACGAGTTCTGGGCATTCCGCTTAGCTACAGACTCGAGGAAGAGGAGTCTTGCACTCACCTTCTCAATCACCATATCTAATTTTGCCAGCTCTTCTTTGAATGATATCCTTCGGTGCTCCTGGTTTGGTTGGGGGCAAGCAGGGTTCTGGCCGCGTTGACGGTCGGCGGTGAGATCAGTGCCGGATTTCGGAGGGAGGAAAACGAGGAGGGGGACGTCCACCCCGACGAGGGTGGATGCGCGAACTATCCTCTGCAAGGCTTCGTTTTCATAGTTGCTAAGTGAACGGTGTGCTTGAGGGTTCTTTTTCTTATGGATCTTCCGCTTCGCAGGGGCCATTGTTTCAAGATCAGAGAAGAAAGGGGAGAGGTGAAGGTGAAATGAAAATGAGAAGGTAGTGGAAATGATAATGAAGAGGAGGATGGAGGGCCCTTTTATACTGAAATTATGATTTATTTTAGGAAAGTAAAGGAGCGCTTTGCTTTATCTCTTCATGGGGGAAATCAGACCGTTAATTTCGCCATGGATGGTTATGGAGAAGATATGACTTATTTTTGGAAAGTGGAATGGAGATCAGTTAAGTAGCAAGGAGTGCTATCATTTGTCACCTCTACTGGGGGGGAGATCCGACCGTTGACGACATTTGAAATTCAAATTTGAAAATTTTAAATGCATAAAAATCAACTACTATGTATTAATATATCTAACATCTAAATTTTAATTTTTTACATAATTATATATCTCCTTATATATGCATGAAAAGATGTATTTCAATTTTTAAAAGTTAAAATGAAGATAATTTTTATGTCATATGAAAATTTTTTATGATATAAATGTAAAAAATGAAATTTAGGTGCTAAATATGTTAATATATAGGGATTAAGAGGCATGTATAATGTATAAATGCATTTTCAAATTTTCATATCAATCGAATGCAACTTAGATCGATTGTAGCATAGTAACACATAAATGAGTAACCAAAAGAATTTACACACATTTATTTTATACGACAGATCATAATATTTTGCAGTGACATGTCGTAGAGGAGTTTGGCCACTTATGGAAAATTCTAACCTAAATATTTGCTCTAGGAAGACCAATGATTCATCACATAGACACAACGCAGTGATCAAACTCACACGCCTAGACCAAACTAAACATGGGGCTAGCAATGAGTTAATAAATCTCACCACCGTGACAGATGCTGACATGCTCTCTTTGCTTGCTTCAAACTCACTTCCTCGCTAGCACAGCCACGGGTCGTGTACCTTGCAATATGTGCGGACCAAGAGAAAGAGACATATGGGGTATACAAGTACCCACAATAAATGATCATAACAAAGAAAAATATGGCACCTCAGTGCATTGTTTTTGCCAAAAGAATCGAGCTGCCTTCCCCTTAGCTGCGATACCGAAACAAAAGAAGTGTCAACGTGCGCAAGCATGAGATTTGGCCGGAGGTAGGAAGACGACGACGACATGGATGTTAGACCAAAAGGTTTGGCCAAAGCAAAGGATCACAAACAAAAGGAGAGGACTAGATGCGAGCTGCAAGGCATAGCCGACGACAAGGGGAAGACGTCGACATGAAGTAGGTTGGCTGGGCTTCGCCGGTGGGAGCACTGCCGACCAACTGAGGAGGGAGCCCGCAAGGGCTTCAGTCTTAAATCGGGCGCATGGGAGAGGGAAGAGGCCCGACGACTTTGCGAAGGAGGCAATATGAGCTGGAGGGCTCGCCAGCGGAGAGGAGCACCGACAAAGGAGGAGGTGGGGCCGAAATCGTGTCGAAGAGGGGAGGCTCCATTTTCGGCCCGGACATCACGCGAAAAAGATCGGGATCAGGAAACTGGGTGAGTGAGTTAGGTTTTAAAAGGATTTTTTAATTTTTAATATTTATTATTTGAAATCTTTGATTTGCGTGTTATTTGCTCGTGGACTAAATCATAATAATATGAGTGTCCTTTCCGGGTAAAATCAATGTTTCGTACGTGCTCACGTAGTCTGTTTCATCATCCGGGGTCATTCAGACAACTTCACTGATGGACAGAGAAATTCAAGTTTTATTCACGTTCACCACGGCGAGACGGGAAAAATATCAATTGACTTTCGCCAAAAATGAGGCCAAAAGAGACGTAGGGGATTCCATCAACATTGAATAATTTACAACAGTGAGGATATGAGAATTCATGCAAGTAAAATAAAAAATCGGTTCAATCTCATGATCCAAAAAGGTGTCATCATTGCATCCAAAAATCACCAAAATTTAAAAACACATCCAGAATTTATAGAGTTTGTATCTTATCAGTTGAAAGTAGCAAAATTATAGACAAAAAAGGGATCAAGTATATGCATTAGTTCTACCCAATCAATTTCTAACGCATGAATATATATCTTATCAGTGCAACAAATAGAAAGAAGTGGATGAAGAAAAGAAGAAAAATGCATGACTTGAAACTCCAGGGAAGGCACATTGTCATCTAATCGTCATATGAAATCCATAAAAATAAAGAAAGTAATAGATTATAGACAAAAGAGAGAGCTCAAGACCCAAGAATCCAACCACACAACTTCTCAAAACTTTCCAAAAATCAAAACAGATCAAGGCAGTAATTATCATGTTCATTAAAGAGCAACATATAGCTCATATCAGTAGATAATGAACACAAAGAAATATGAAAAGATTGTAAAGGGCTTTGAAGAAATCATGAATTTCCTGCCTATATTTTCATTTTTTAGTCTTCCAACTATAGAAATGCTGCTCATAAATTTTCAGAATTATTGACGACATGTAGAAATGTTGTTCGCAATAATTTAAATTATTTGAAATATGTTCAGCCCCTATTGATAGTCAATGCTTATTAATTAACTAAAATTTAAATTTCATGATTATGTTAAAATTAATTAAATTATTTTTATGTAATTAATTTTTTTTCATATTAATAATTAAAATAAATAATTAAAACATTTAAAAATTGTGTTGATGTGTATATATCCTGGAAACTTGACGGCGCAGGACTTCTAGTTTGCAATGACATGTAGACCAGGCCGGGGCGACCGGTCGAAGCAAAGTGAAATGTCGACCAGGCCCGGGCAACAGATTGAGACAAAGTGAAATATCGACATAGCCAGGGAGACCGATCGAAGTAAAGTGAAATGTCGACTGGCTGGGGCGGTTGCTAAGGCAAAGTGCAAAATCTTTGATACAATGTATGCACATGCAATAAAAACACACAATCATGTTGCACATCGAGTCATGCTCGTACCAGCTGGGAAAACCTAGGGTTAGCGCTTGAATGTGTCGGACCGCCGCCTTCTACTTTGGTGAGGCTAGTGGAGAGTTTTTCTCCAAATTTTTGAGGGGGAAACTCTCCACACTGCCGTGGAATGGGCTAACTAGAAAACTTTTCCCGATTTCACGACACCACAAGACTTTGCAAAGTGAGCTAGCTAAAAAGCTTTCCTCACTTTGCAAAAGTCAATCTCCCAATTTTTCCAAGAAAAATTGGGGCATCCAAAGTAAGGGGAGTTAGAGGCTCCGACCTATGGGATTTTTGTGCAAGGGCTCACAACAACTTATGGAAAATTCTAACCTAAAGACTTGCTCTAGGAAGACCAATGATCCATCATAGGCACGACGCAGCGACGACTCACGCCGGCGCACGCACCTTTTGTGGGCGATCGAACCCACATGTCTGGACCAAAATAAACATGGGGCTAGCTAGAAGCTAATAAGGTTCTGTTTGGCGCAGCTGCAGCTTCTCAGCTTTTCAGCTGCAATTGCGTTGTCTCAGGAAGCTGTTACGGGGAAGCTGGCTGTCTGTTTATTGCAGCTGTGTGAAAACAGCTGTTTCTGAAAAATTGATCATTCTACCCCTATTCAATAAATTTGTTTGTAACACAACTGTGACACCCACTTATTTGATAATTCAGAAGCAGAAATTAAAAATAATGATGAATTTATTTTGAAGTTTACAAATATGTTCAAAATAATAATGAATTTATTATCAAGAGATTATTTTGTAGTACCTCAAATTTCATTACTCATGTTAAACAAATTTAATAACCCCTTTTTTAGGATATCATTAATGTTTTATCCACAATTATGCACAGGACTTCTTACTAATCTCCGAAGGTGAAATACTTTTTAATGGAATGATGGAGTGGCTCAAGTATTTATTGCATTAAAAATGCATTGAGTTCTACTCTTATGTTGCATCTTTTTTAGTTTTCTAAACATTTTGCTGTCAAAACTTCTGAAATGGGAACTACGAGGCTTTGATTCAAGGTTTTCATCCCTATAGCCTACCATATAACTGATGCGCCCCGCTCCCCTAGTGCGTATTATTTTTCTGCGTGTTTTATGTCAATTTAATTCCCCTGAGACGGTGCCAAAAAATTGACCCTACCCGTAATTACACAGTAATTCAGCTTTTAAAAGACGACAAAAAACTTGACCCAATTTATATTTAGCAACTAATATACAAAATTGAATATTATGAAATATAGCAAATAGTTTACGCACTATGGGTTCTACACAAGTGCACATATCGCTTCAATTTATGACTTTCTGATCAAGCTTCGAATATCGATCCAACGAGGAAGCGAGGAAAGATGTCATTCGTCAAATTTCAGTCTACTACTATTAGTTCTTAGTTTGGTGCCGATTAAAATAATATTTTATCTAACAACTACTTCTAAATGTGAATGTTTAATGTAAGGATAGTAACTATTTCTAAATGTAAATATTAATTCTAAGAAAAATCCTTTTTGAATGAGTTGGTTTGGATAATTTTAAGATGTTAAAAACTACTATTCTTATGTAGCAAATTGGATAATGTAATGGAATGAGATACATTAAATATTGTATGTGCCAAATATGAGCAATTTTAATTCTCTACCCTGATTCAGTGTTATAGAAAATCATTGCCTAATCTTAGGTTTAGTCCCTAAATCCGTGGCTAGGCTAGGAGGATATTGACTCCCACTCCAAAACTCCCACTTCCCTTCCCCT